GCGATTCGCAAGAGTTGATGAGCAGTTTGAAAGAGTCGACGCGCGATTCCGCGAACTCACCCAGTCGTTCATAGCTCAAACGACGAACTCGCGAGCGGCGTCACCTCGTCACCAGATCCTCCCTTTAGGCGTCACCGACCCTTCTTCGCCGTCAGAACTCCTATTTCCTCCACCTTCCCTACATTTCCCAGGCACGGTCATGCACTTTTGGGATTTACAAGAAGACAGGAATAGTAAGCATAGAGGACTACTTGTAAGATCTGGAGCTGATCAGGGTTACAGTTCGTAAGCTCGTGGCTCTCTGTAACTTTTACAGGATAACGCGGGAAGAGATTGTCGGAGACCTGACCAACTTGAGTGTCTTTGAAGATGTTGAAGATACTTCTCCGTCGAGCTCCGCATCAAGCTCCGAGGAGGCCTTGCGCGTGCTGCAGAAGACAGTGATGGAGAGTCGCCAGGGCGCTCTATCTTGCCTAGCGAATCGGTTACATTTGAATTTCGAGAGCATATCATACAACGTGGGACCGGTGTTACAACTTCGAGAGGAGGCAGCTCGACGAGAAGAGAGGGGTGTGAAACGAGCCGCGGGCAGTGAGAAAGGCTTTGCTCGTATTGGCGGTCTCGACAACAAGAGGATGCTTCGGGATAACACGTCGGCCAGTGAGCATAGCCCCACGAACCGACACAGTGGCAATCGTGAACGCGACAACGGGCACGCTCCACTCACACAACGCGTTAAAGACTACCTTGTACCTCAAGAAGAGCTAATGTGGCGGCAGAGCCCAGAGTCAGCCAGGACAAAATTAGGCTATGCCAAAGATTCTCAGCTAACTCCTGAGCGACGCAAAATTCGAGATCCTTCACACTACCAGGAAACTGCCCCAGAACTCGAATCAATCAAGTCGGAACCCAACCTAGGCCGGCAGAGCAAAGAAAATACTGAAAAGGTCATAAGGTTCTCGCCATCTCCGGGATCGACAGTGCCATTCTCACACACGCCGACACCTGTCAAAGAAGCAGAAGAGAGGAGAAGGGAGAAACAGGGTTCTCCGTTTTCGATTGCGTCCGGGTGAAATTGCTTTTGTAACAGCCACATCAGCATGTCCATATATCGACAACCATTCAGAGGGCGAGACCTCATTTGTTTCGCTACCACATTATACCATGTAATCTTACATTTATCGCCATCTAACGAGGATGGCGGAGAGGAGGAACAGGTGGATGTAGCGTGGACACATAGTCATAAAATTTCTACAACTCTCATCGGCATCGCTGACGTTAATCGCTCCCTACTCCACCGAATCGACCTCCACTTGGATCAAAGCGAGGCTTGATTTTGCTCAGGAGCTCTACGAGTACTGTACCAGTCCGGATGCAGCTCACAAATATCGGTTTGCGTCCACGCATGCCACCTGGTTTGCCATTCTTCGACACATCCTCCAAAACTTCAACGCAGGACATTTCAAGGTCGATCACTGGGTGGCGGCCATCTCGGCGGCCATGCTGTCTTGTGAGATCGAGTGCATTCCTGGTGTTTACCAGTCGCGACTCAGTTTTCGCCGCGTGATCCAATTGATCGGATACACCACACCCGCCGGTGTCCTATCGGCACCAGTTGGAAGCCTGAAACGATCAGCCATGGAAGCCCAGCATCAGGCCAAGCGGACACGAACCACCAGCCGCATCGATTTCGGTTGTGCCATTCCTTTCACTCAGATCCTGGAACTGGTGAAGCAAGGCTTCGAGGTGCAGGAAGTTCACTTCTGCAAGGGTGACTCCGGTATCCTGGAGCACTACCAAGTCGCTCGCAACTGTGTCGAGAGCTGTTTAGGAGACCCTCTGTGTGGCCTCATGCTCATGTTGGTCCTGACCATGGCTTCCTACTCGATCACGCCCACCGTGGCGGCGCAGACACGGCATTTCGACGTCGGTGCGAAAAAAGATCCCGCTTTGTTTGCCACTAACCTCGTGACGCGCATGCTCTGGTTTTTACGCCCCGAACAATTCCCGTGGAAAGGTGATCATCAAGTGGCGCTCTGTATCCCGGAAATGACCAAGAAGATCGAGCATACAGGGGTGAATAACCGTCTTTTGCGGGAGCTCGGTTGGGTCGAGGTCATACGCGGGAACCGGGATACGCCTGGGAATGATGAGATCCGGCTGCGGGATGCCGACAAGCTCTTTGCCTTGCGGAAGGAGTTATGTAGACTGCAAAAGGATGCGGTTGCGTTCGCTGCACGGGTTTTCCATAGTCACGAACCTATTTGGCTTGATCGGTGCTCAGCAATATGGCGTGATCAAGGGGAGGACGGCGGATGAAGGTGGTAGTGCATAGCTTTCCTTACCGATTTCAATGTATTGCACAGATGTTGTTCCCTCTTGTCCACTTGTCATTCCCTCGTAGCCCCAGAGAGAGGAGCGAGGGAGTCGTAATATTCGGCGGTGGAAAGTGAGGAAGAAATATTGCCGCATTAGGGGATTATCCTTTGGGAAGTTCGTGCCCCAGCGCGCATAGTCTCGTTGTGGAAGTGACAAATATCAGCAGCCCTCGGGGCACCGTTGTTCTCATCGACTTCAGTAGGTATTCCCGTGGCCGAACTTCTCATCCACAGCCAAGGTGTGGGCTCCTCTGTAATGGTCCGTTAATTGTTTTGCACCTCCCGTAGTCCGCGACGAATGCCAGTACAATTGGCTCAAATGCGAACAAGAGGTTGGTAGGCTTAATGTCTCCATGATTAATGCCAATCTGGTGTATATGTTCGAGACCCGTGAAAACCTGCCCGAATGCATCAATACGCACATCGTAGCTGCCGCTTGTCTGCCTTAGATCGTCAAAAATGAAGTGACCCTCCGGTCCGTGTTGTGATGAGAGGTTCAACCAACTACTATGACAATCAAAGAGCCTTATGGAATCATCCCGCACGATTGGAAATAATAGGGAAGCTTCTAGCATCTTACTTCAGTGTATATATGGTCCTACATTGTGAGGAGATAGAACAATAACAAGAATGAAGTCATACTTCCACTGGAGCAATTTCCAATACTGCAATCTGTTGGCAGTCTTGAATCTGCACTGTATTCAAGGAGATCCTTGGTTGCCCGGATGACTGAACGTATGCCATTTTATCATCCCAGAGATGTTGGATAGTACTTCGACATGGGCACTCAGTTGTCCTCCCTCCACGGAGCTCTCAGCCAGTGTACATTGATCCAGCTAGTTCATGCTCCATAGTGACGGAGAAATTTTTGTGGCTCGGCATAATCGAAGTTGACAACAATTACATCCTCACTGATGGTTCCCTGATTGAGCAATAGCAGTGTTCTGCGGTTGAGGCCGCTTCGGAGGACATGATTGAGGGGTCCTGCTCAGTGCCGGGGCCGACCCTAATATGAAAGACGCATCCGGGTATACCGCACTACGATATGCGCTTCAAAATAATGATGAAGACGTCTGTCAAAACCTGCTTAGCCACGGCGAACGAGGGGAATGGCTGGTCCAGTATAATACAGATACAATATCCGGGGTGAGGGGAGTGAACAGAGTTGTCCCACTGTACGAAGAACAAAATGGCGGTTTAATTTGCCTGTTCTGCCATGCTGAGGTTGAGATAGGGGACCTTGCATACAAGTTT